ACATGTTATTTTCATTCTTGCTGTGATCTGTGTTGCCCAGTTGAGACCTTATATATTCGAACTGACATTCTCTTCGTCTGTTCTAAAACGGCCTCGTCGTGATTAAGAAAAGGCTTACAGGACTGGAAGGCGCAGTGTTATCAAACAACTATCATTATTGATCAAAATGGAAATACAGCGCCTAAATCGGATATATATCGAAACTCTTATGCGAAACCAGAGCTGTCGCCATATGTGGTCTGCTTTGAAGCAGCTCTGTGGATCACGTAACAGATCTTTTCCGGATGTTCAGGAATTGAACCGTCAATTCTCAAATGCTACTATAAGGAACTCCACACCATCTTTATTCACATCTACTGGGGAGATCCAATCTGTCCCCCCTGTGGAAGTCCTGAATGTACTACAGTCCCTTAAATCTAACAAGGCATATGGCCCTGATTCGTTGTCCCCCTTCCTACTGAAAGAGTGTGCTAAACAACTTGATTCAGCTATTTCCGAGTTGTTCAATTTGTATGTCTTATGGAAGCATCCCTGATTGTTGGAGAGCTGCTCGGATAACCCTAATTCCCAAAAAAGGATCTTCCAAATATCAAGCGATTGCCTGCACATCAGCATTATTGAAAGTTTTCGAAAGAGTCCTTCTCAACCGGCTGACCCTCTTATCTGTCACCCTACTCAGTTTGCATACAAACATTCGCTTTCCACTCTTGATGCTGTTGCTCACGTTGTTCACTCCGTTTCATCCTTATTGGATAACTTGATTATGCTAATGCTTTCGGATCACTTGACCGCAGCATTCTGACCCAACGTCTTTCGGATTGTGGTCTGGCACCTAATTTACTGAATGTACTAATTAATTACTTCACCCATCGGACGCAATACACTTTTTGTAACGGTAAATCTTCCTCCCTGCTAGAAGTCCATTCTGGAGTTTTTCAAGGTGCAATTTTATCTCCATTTCTTTTTTCATTGTATATTAAGGACCTTCCCATCCCTCCCAACTTTATCGCCTGCAAGTATGCTGATGACGTGGTGGTCGGCTATCCCTCGACTGTTCTTGATTGTTTCTGTCAACTTCAAGTTTGTCTAAATAACATTTTTAGTTGGTTGACTTCTCGATCTTTATTGCTAAATGTAGATAAATGTGTGGATTTTTCTTCTAGCCTTAAAACAGGCATACCTTATCAAACCCTTTTGAGCACTCAGCCTGTACTTTGTGTTAGTGGTAATACCATCCCCAAGGCTAACTCTGTGAAGTATCTTGGAGTCACTTTGTCACACAATCTTTCTTGGTCCAAACATATTGAGAACGTTTATATTCGGGTTCGTAGACTATCCTTCTACGCTTTTAGGCTTAAAAAGCTCAGCGTTTCCTTAAACGTAATTCTTAAATTTGTGGCTGCATGCATTCTTCCACATTGGTTGTACTGTTCCCCCGTATATTTTCCTGGTCTGAAGGAGGAAGACTTTATTCTCTTTTCCAGATCTCTTAAACTTCTTTCTCGTTGCAGCGGCTTTTCAAAGACCGTTTTGCTTGACTTTATTATAAGCAAGCATTTTGATTCCTGCGATCGATTTATCAGCCATATCTTGTCCAATGAAGAACACTACCTATACTCCAGTCTCAATTAATCGGTGTCTCATCCGAGTACCCGTTCCCAATTTCGGATTCTTTGTGCACGCACCACCACACACAAAAACAGCATATTCCCTTATTTTGCTCGAGCCAATATTATTACTGGCCTGAACAAACATCTGTCACATTAGGCTTTTATCTAATCAAATGTATATTTCTTTTTTGCCAATGCTTAACATTTTCCCCTCTGTATCTTGTCGAAAATGCTGGAAATTCATCCTATCGGGTGCATAAAGCTTTACTTGACTTGTATTGAGCCGGACGACAACAGAGCTACCTACCACCAAAGTCGGGTGGCGGTGGCGAGGCTCGAACCTCGGACCATAGGGTCCAAAGCACGCTGGCGATAGCTACTAAACTAATGCGCCACCACCACCACTACAGTAAACGGCGACTCGTGCGTGCAAATCATATGGTTCCATTGTGGGTAGCATCACGAGGAAAAACTGTTTCCCAGTCAACTCTAGTTCCGTAAGATTAGGTTCAAGGTTCTACGGTCCGAATCTCAATCCGTTTAAAAGCTGAGAAGATGAATAACTTCTTAAATAACTGCTTTTTGTATGCACTTCTCTACAGCCTGTTTGCAAGAACTGACCAGTCTCTTGCCTCGATTCGGTGATGCACGCGGGTTCAATTTGTCGTTCACACTCAAACTGGTCGCCCAGCGCATTGCGGATCCCGTTCTTGGGGTGCGTCAGTCCGCACTCGAGTGCCTTCGTGTCGCATATCGCTTAGTCGGCGCAGAAATGTGGAATCTGGCTGGTCCGGTGCGTTTCCTTGCCTCTGTTGCGCATGTTGTGTTTCCAGCTTTGTTTCTCTGTCGTATGGTCTTCGTTTTCTTCCAGTTGCCATTGACAGCTGAGCGCACCTCCCTATGAAAACATGACTCGAACGGTCATTCTTGTTTTTTTTTACTCCCCCATTTTTAAGTTGCCTAATATATATATGACAGTTTTGTAAACAACGGTGTTGATTAGTTTTTGTAGCTCGGGTAATACAACTTGATGTTCAGTTGTTCGCCGAGCTTGGCAATTGTATTGCAAACGTTTCATCACCAATCGAAGGACGTTATCAATGCAGTAATTGGGCGAACGCTTTCGAGTGTCCCTTTCCTTCTATAGGTCGTTGAGTGGCTGATGTTTTTTCGCCATGTGCCGATAGGAGATGAGGTGAACGCGAACAGTCTGACGGCTGGTTGTTGATAGATCAGACTAAGTAGTACTGTTGTGACGTTAAACACGACCCACCTTTGCGTTGATTGATCTTTTTGTTCCATGAGGGTATAGACTTGATCGTTGTTAGTGTGTCGGTTTATCGAGTTTTCGGATGAATGCCAAGCTTCCAGAAATTCTGTTGCGTGCTTGGTGCGGGCCTGATCGACGGCTTTGATGTTTTCGAAATCGAAGTTGTGTCCTTTTCGGTCCTCGTGAATTGAGATGAGTGAGAGTGCATCGTGTCTTTTGACGGCCAGTTTGTGTTCGTCCACGCGAATCTCTAGCTTTCTCCCTATTTGACCGATGTGGTGCTTGTTGCGGTCATTGCAGTCGATGCGGTGGATCACATTTTTTTCGATTTTGTCTTCTTGTTGCTTCTTGGTTTTCGTTAAGATTCTCCCTAGGGTTGTCGTTGGTTTGTGGGCGACTTGAATGTTGTGTGGCTTCAGTATTCCCGTGGTTATTTCTTAAATGTTCTTCATATACGGTAGGGTTATTCGATTGTCTGTTTGTCCTTGTATGTTGTGTTCGAGTTATTGACCGTTTGACGAAGTTGCGGGTGTAGCCGTTGCGGAGGAATGTTTGATAGAGGTATTTCTCCTCTTTCTGCCTCAACTTTTCAGTGCTGCAGTGTGTTTTGACCCTTTCGAAAAGTGTCGGAATGCAACTCTTCTTGTTACAGATTATGTGGTTGCCGGTGTATCCCAGCATTTGATCTATGTGGGTCTTCTTTCTGTGCACCGATGCTTCTAGCGTACCGGACAGTAATGTTATTGTGATATCAATAAATGCCAATTTGTCATTTTGTTCTGTTTCCATGGTGAACTTGATATCCGGGAAGGTATTGTTGATGTTGTTGAAAGTTTAGTCCGTTTCCGGTCGTTTCAGGATCACGGACGTGTCATCTACACATCTAAGCCATAGTTGGAACTGGAGTTGTGGTTGAATCATCCTTTCGAGTTTTTGCATTACGGCTTCAATGAATCCGAAAATTGATGAACCCATTGGTGTTCCTTTCACCTGTTCGTAGATTTCACCGTCGAATTCGAAGTATGTTTGTAGGCATAGGTTTATCAGCTCGCAGATTTATTGGTTATCACGTGTATGATGTATCTGTCGTTTTAGAAGCTCCTTTAGTGTTTCCCTGGCCAAATCGAGGTTGATGGAGGTAAATAGAGCGGTGTCGTCGAAGGGTATCATTATTCCATCTGCATTTACATTCTTCAATTTTTCTGGGAACTGTTTGGCGTTATTGATGGAATGTTCGTAGCCGGCAATGAGAGGTTCGAGTCTCCTCCACAATTCTTTATCCAGTTTGTAGGTTGGTGTAGTGGAAGTATATATATATATATATATATCAACCATCCTTGAGTCAGAAGACAATTTAATCTGGTTTAGTCTAGTTTTGCGCCCATCGTATTTGCTTGCATGGCAATTCGTTCAGTGATTGCTTATAAAATTTCACGCATCGGTGGTATATTTGTCTTTTTATACAATTTGATCGACTGCTCAATTGTAACAGGAATAGCACAATCGCACCATACCAGTGAGATCCCGGGTTCGATCTTCGGTTAGATCGATATATTCGTACTGCTAATGAGACCCAACAAGGTCGAGACAACCTTACAGTGCTCCCTACCTTTATCTACTGTATAACCGATGAAATTCACCCAGTAATTGTATTTGAATCAATTTATAAAGCATTCGCTGCTATACTGTGCTCGATGCAATGATTTATTCTTGAACTGTATAAGAACGATCGCATTGGCCATGAGGAAGGAGAATCAAAAGCCATTTTCGGAATGACATTTCAACCCTACTGAAATGCTTTTTCAGATCAATTAACAAATATCTTGGCTCAACTAAAAATTCCTATACGGATCCAATTATATGAGCCCGATGCATAATTTCCTCAAGAGTATCCATGCCAAATTTGTATCCGATACTATTCATTTTTTCCTTATATTTACAATAATAGTTGCATCATCGAGATCAGGAGATGTTGCGGACATATTTATCCATCGATCCACCGGGTCCCGTTGTTCCTGACTCCATGTCTTTTGGACACACCACACCCGTTGTCCACAATCCGCAATCATTCAGCCACGCTGCGGAATCTTGCATCGAAATGGATCGATCTACGCAAAATGTGTCACAACCTTCGATTAGTTTGTACGGAAAAGTTCCTGGCACCAGCGCGAAATCCACGTAAGCTGTTCACGGTTTACACACACACACACGCACACATATATATATATACATGCACGCATTTGTATACTTGCCTAAATTTAGGATGCATCAAACAGACATGGTTCAGTGAGAGGTGAGTCCTCGTCTTCCATGTTTCGTTTCTGCGCCTAGAATCATTAGGATGCATAGATCGAAGCAGGTGTTTTTGTAGGGATATCATACCCGGACTCTTAAATTATCCATACCCTGGATAACAGACCAACGTCAGGAGCTGGAGTATTACTATTTTCAATGACCAAAGTGGTCCGTGCGCCATTCATATATCTGTATGCTTGACTGTATCGGAAGCACCCTCAACTCGTCGGTGAGGTACCCATAACTCCATACTAATTACATTCGTTTATGATCTCTCTGCGGACACAATACTACCAGATTGTCCGAAACCGACACATTGGTTTCTCAAATTCATAATCGGAGCCTTGGNCCTCCAGGGTGCCCAATGCGCTCTATTATCTAGTGGACTTGGTTTATCTCAACCAGGCGTCTGGGAATGACCTAGGGTACCTATTCTTGGGAGGTCCAAATTCAGAGCTTTTCGGCTCCTTTAGATAAAAAAGCTGCTGATATACTCTCAATCAAGTTGTAACTCCAAATACTAGCTTTTCATTGTTACAATAAAGCGAAAGTTCAGTCACCACGAGAAAATATTGTGTGAAAACTGAATTTTAATACGAGATTTGTAATCAAAAAAATTACTGGCTCATATTGCAGATATGCTGGAATCATGACGTGAAACAGCTACGGTTTAGTGACCAGTAGAACTTTGGCATTCACCACGGGAATTCGAGAATGATTTTTGAATTGATTGACTTTGATTTCCAGTCTTGTGAGCAACGGAATCGCACTGTCTTCCCCCATTGTCCAATATCATTCCATTCTTCAGTTGTCGTCGCCCTGCGAGCCCACCTCCGTCGCACCGATCCCCTGCTGCTCTAAGTGTGCTCGTACCTTTGATCAATTTGCGCAACTGTTTGCAAACGACAGAAGCCATGCGTCAGGCGGCATCGGATAAACTAAACGCTGCGTTGATTTGTCTGGTCGGGCAATTGGACGTTTCTCTGTTCCGTACGGGCAACCATCTGGCAGAGTCCAATAATGCAGATGAGACTTTGGCTGTCATGGATGAGAGTCAGCAAGCGACAGAAGAGGATCGCGTGACAGATGATGAGTCGGATGTATTGAATAATGTGCTACTTGGTGCATTGGTTGATCTGGAAACATTGGTTTTGGGTAGGTTTTTCTTAATTCACCTGCGTGGGTTGCTGCTTTCACTCTGTCTCTTGCTCCACACACACACACTTTATATATATATATATATATATATATATATATATAATTTTTTCAGTATTATGTATTCGTTCATCTTTGGGCTGAACGTCTGTGAGCATGCACTTACCGTTCATCGTTTCCTTCGGTTTATCGGTCTCCCCAGATCCACGAACTTGTGAGCTGTTGGTTCCCTTCGTCAATGCTATCGTGGATCGTTTATCCTCTCTGTCTCAGTGCCTGGCTCACACCGAACGTAACGCGGGACATATCGTATTTACCAATTGTTTGACTGGAATCCTCGTTGTGGTACGTT